ATCTTACCAGATGTTCAAACCTTTTGAAGAAGTGAAGACATTTGAGTTCACATCGAAGCCACTCAATCTACGTGAGAGTAAGATCATTCAGGTATTCTGGTCATTCTTTAAATGAATACGTAACCGTGATTGAAGAACCAAATAGACTTATTGGAGAAGGAGATCAAAGAAAAGAAAGAAGAAGTGAGAATGCTGAAAGAGATCGTAGAGAAAGAGAAATCTGCTTATAAGGTATCACTTTCTGCTAACTTCGTCAACCACTCTTCTTCAGGGTCTGAAAGAGCGTTCGAGCAATGGTAAAGGGCAGACAGACTCAAAATGATTTATCAGACAGATCCTTATTGGGAACTATTGATCTCTGTAGTTTGGTGTGAATGAGAGGATGTCAACTGAGTAAAAGAGAAGGCTCGCTGAAAATAAATGAATATATCAGTTAAGACTATCTAACAATGAATTCTGTAAAGCATAAGGGGATGTCTAACCACACTCCATGTTTGTAATGATGTTTTCGTAATGGACAGTACAAGTTATGTTAAGGAAGCTATTTCAAATGGAAGTGGCTTCATAAATAAAAGTTACAAGTAGTGTTAATATGACGGAACTCGTCTCATAGAGAACATATGAATGTTGGAGTGTTCAGAGAGTCTTGAAGTCATGAAGATGGTAACACATCGATGACTACAAATAAGGCAAAATAACAGTTTTGTTACTCGAATTCCTGTTTCATATTGAAACCTTTAAACATTCAATTTTCCCAAATGAAGAGTCTTTATCACAAAAATATAATATTTGAAGGGAAAAGGTGAGGAGGGAACGGGTTCTTCTCTCTCTCAGTTTCTCTTTCTCTCTGTTACTGTTTTCTCGAACTACAAGCATGAAGAGTAGAGATAACATCTTATGAGAGTGAGTACGAGAGAGAGAGAGAGAGAGAGAGAGAGGGATTGCTCATACAGAAGACAAGAGATGGTTCAATTAGATGATAATCATAGATGAGACAGATACTAGAACAGTAAACAGTTATAAGAAGTCATAGAGAGCTTAGACAGTCAGAGATATACAAAGACAATGGTTGATATGAAGAGTAATGACAGACAGAAACTGAACAAGCTGTCCGAGAGGGCAAAAGCCTGGAAAAGGAGTTACGATGTTGATAAGAGTAATCTCTGAGAGATCTTGTCAACCACTTCCAGATTTTAATCAATTTCATATATAAAGCTTATAACTTTAAATGAATTTTTACCTTACAAGGTCATTCATCGTATGCGATGGACAAGTCGGTCAAGTTCAACCTAATTCTTTTCTAAAAAAAAAAGAAAAAAAAATTTGAATTTTAAAGAAATTTTTCATTTACAGTTTGGGAAATAGAACAAGTGCCACGTCTGCATCCAACCAGGAGTCTTACTGTTTCATTCGAGAATAGCAAGTTCACGTCTTCAACTGCTCACAGAGATTTGAAGTGCAGGTGAGGAAGCATCTACCATCTCTCTTACTATACCCATCTGATGTGAAGCATAAAGTTCTTCTGATACTCTTGGCTCTCTACTTCTTCAGAGCTTCATAGTTGAACATGCCTCTCCTCTCTCTCTCTCTCCAGATGACAATAGAAGGAATTCAAACCATTTCCCTCAGACCCACTAACGATGAGTAATCAATCAGTTTCTCGGCAACTTAAAAGAAACTTCCACTCTATTTTTTTAATAATTTATCATTAACCTATAGCATATAATCAAGTTTATCAAGTTTTCGATATAGAGAATACAGGTACGTGTTTAGATGAGAATTCTCGTTCAATAAACATGTTCAGCTCCTTCTATATAAGGTAGTAGTTGAGTAACTCCTCTCCATCATACACACATACCATCATATACAATCATTTCGTTTCAATCAGAATCTCAAGAATAGAATCTTTCACATATGATTAGCATAATTAACGATAAGAACAATATTAATCTTTGAACTGTTCATCATCTGAATTTTTTTGTGTTCGACCTCGATACCATTGAGTTCTTACTGCTGCTACATCTTCTCCCCCCTCCTGCCCACCCCACAACACCATATTTGGAATTGAAAAATGTCATTTTTTGTCCTTTTTCTCTGATTTCACAAAGTCTTGTCCTACATTTACATTGGTTGTTGCCATGAGAAACTTGTTTTGTTAGTCAACTTTGTGCCTCCAACTGTCTTCACTGCCACAAGAGCCTCTTACTCTCTTTCCTTCTCTCCCTCTTACTCACACTTTCTCTCTCTCTCTCACTTACTCATCTTCTCACTTTATAGCTTAACCTCCTAATATAGGTTTCATACGTTTTCGCTGTTAATTGGAAGTTCATCAAATGAACTCTCAGATATTGCAACAGCTTACCCATTTCGCCTATCACCTCTCGTTCCCAACCATATATCGCCCTAAAACTCCAATTGAATCATGACGTAGCAAACGACAAGAATGAACAACAGGATTCTTGACGACGTCGTCATTTCTGCTGATGACCACGGCAGTTCTTCGTCGAATTACTGGTCATCTAGTTATTTGGCATTCCTTTAACATTTTTTTGTATTTAAAAGGGCATGTTCTAGTTTGGAGTTGAAAGTTGAAGACGCCAGTTCAAATCATGTCTGTACTCTTGGAGAGCTTCAGCGTTTTCACTTCGTCTGATGATGTGTCCCTCCATTTCCTTCTTTTTTTTTCCTTTTTTTTTCGAAGAAACCCCTTCTGAGTTTTATTTGTGACCAAGGTCATCTAACTTTGGCATACCTCAGTTCTTGACTTTCGAATACTTCTAGAAGAACAAACCTTCTTTGAAGCTTCAACCATAGGTATAGCCATCGATATTGCTTAACCCAGATTGCTAACCAACAAAACTTTTTGCAATTGAATGAAAAAAATCGAAAATCAGATGTTCGCTTACCTTTTGAACTTCCTTCTCCAACTTAAGTTTCTCTCTCTCTTTCTCTCTCTGCTTCAATCAGTCTCTCTCTCTCTCTTGCAGCTCTCTCCTACCTCCGTTTGTTTGTTTTTTATTTTCGAATTTCCTTTTTTGACTCGATCGAATTATCTTTTTGTAATTGCTTGAACACATTTTCAAATTTTTCCTTTTTTCACGTCGTATTCACGTAAAGCACATGAGTCATTTTGAAGTTGTGACAGCGCACGAAGCGGTTGTGCTTTTCTCACTTTAATTACCCATTCCCCTCCTCGTTTTTTGGAGAGGAGGGAAGAATTGTATAAGAGAGAGAGAGATAGATGTAAAAAAGAGAGAGAGAGAGAAAGATAGAGAGACGAACTCCCTTGGTTATTTTCATTGAACTTTGAAATCATAAAAGATGATAGGTCATTTGGCTTTTCATACAATTCCTTTTGTATGTAATTCTTTCCTTCCCTTATAAGATTGTCAGGTTTTGTAGGGTCAGAGGTCAAATGTATAAAGAGAGAGAGAGAGAAAGAAAGAGAGAGGTGAAGAGAGAGAGAATAGAGGGAGAATAAAAAAGATTTTTTTCTCATTCAAAATATAGAAGACCTTGACGTCTTCGGCATTTCCTATTTTGACACGAACTTCTCTCGGAAATGATTGACAACGTGTAAGCTCACGTGCCATCAAGTAATTTTAACAGAGAATCTTGTAAAACGAATTGCCTTTTCATAGAAAAATATTTTTTTGAACAAAAAAATGGCAGAAGAGGGTTGAAAAGAACTGGAAACGTAAATGAATAGATAGATAGAGAGAGAGAGTAGTAGTAGCAGTCTGAATGGAAAACGAATTCTTCTCAATGATCGTCATCATCGTTGGTCTTCTGATGTCAACTGACGATGTTGTTATATTGTTTTATATAAAGTACTTTTATATTTAAAAAACATTTTTTGTATTTATAGAATCCTCTTGAAACGGACAGCAAACGTTCGTCTGACTCTTAGACCCTCTCTCTCTCTCTTACACTTTTACACTCTCATTGGGCATTTCTCTTGATTTGTGTCTTTCAAAGCTTCTCACCCCCATCTCGGCTCTGAGGGTCATTGTATGACCTTCATATATGGAAACAATGATATGATATAGATTGTAAAGCATAATTTCCTTTTTGAAAAGCTTAATGACATTCTCTCTGTCTGCTAATGGGGGGGGGGGGGTTTAGCAGCAAAATTTTTACAATTTTTTTGTCTGTTGCATTCCATTTACGAGAAAAATTCATAATGAATGAAGTAGACGAAGATGAAGTAGAAGAAGAAGAAGAAGAAGATGTTGATGATGATGATGAGTCAGATGAGAAGCGACAAAAAAAGATATGAAATATGCACTGCAATCGTCGTTTCATTTCAGGGTCAGCAAATTCCATTCTAAAACAACTGTTTCATACCCATTTCCTGTATGCTATGTGGGACAATGCCTGACAGTTAGTTGGCCATCCCTATCCCGCAGGGCATATTTAATTGCAATTTTCAAGAGAGAAATTTGAAATTTTGGATATTATTGATACTATCAAGGACTTTTTTTCTTAATTAGGTAATCAAAGGTCGTATCAAAATGAGAAAAAGGCGGTCTGTTTCATTGTTTTGCGCTCTATTTTTGCCCTCTTAACCCTTCTCTCTTCACATCATCACCTCCTCTTCACCTCTCTCTCGCTTTTCCTACTTCTTCCTACCCACGAATTCCCCCACCTCTCTCTGTGTTGTAAGTATGGCGGGTCTGTGGGTACGTTGGGTAAAGCTCCCGCCCATTCATTCAAATGCCCCATTCATTTATTACTCTTTCTTACCTCATCTACCCTTGTACTTTCTCATTTACAGTCTATAGTCTTATCATTTTCAGAAGTAATGAAGCTTCAGCTTTTACTGGTTGTTGTCTTATGGGCAGCTTCCGATGTCTTGGCCGACTTCAACTGCAGTTTAGCTCCAGATCAAGGTGTGCACTCTCAGTCTATTCCTTTAACTCATTTCATTCAATTGAAGATATGGAGCATACATGTATGATGATCCAGGAGTGGGATAGAAATGCACGAAAAGCTATTAAGAAGAGACAGGCATTTGAAAATCAAATTGGTATGTTCTCATTCTTTATTCTTTGGTCAATTATCTGTTCATCTGTTTGTAGGTGCTCCTGGTGTTCCTAATCAAGGAGGTTTTACTCCAGCAGTTCCACCACGCTTTGCTCCATCAGCACAAGCTTGTATGAGCATTGCCTGCATCTGTCCTTATATGGGGGTAAGTATTTGGAAAGTGTTCGATAAGAAAATAAACAAAAATGAAAGAAAGAGTTTCTACAATTGAATATCGGTCGTTGCTTTCTCTCAGCTCTGGCAAGGTCAGATGATGAAGTTGACGTCACGTAAATCAGAATTGGTTTGGTCACCAGACTTTCAATATACGTGTCGATACTGAAAGTGTCTGTTATCAAAAACCAACAAAAACTAATTAAGTCATTCTAAATGTTCCATTAATTGGTTAATTAGTCGTTGAAATGGTATATGAGGATGACGTGTTAAGATGAGAGAGAGAGGTAGATGTAGAGAGGGAGAAAGAGAGAGAGAGAGGGAGTAGTATGTGTGAGTCAGTCCTTTAACACCCTCGGGCTTTTAAAACATATTTTTACTTTTCGAAAGTCAATTATGAAAAATGAAAGTTTTACGAAATTAAGTGTTTGAAACGATTTTCGTAACTTTTTTTACTTTTTCCATCAGTCAAATGGGTTCTAACTAGATTTCAACAGTTGTTTTTACTGTCAAATAGACCTGGGCAGTTCGATAACCGTTATTTGACGAACGAACATCTCTCCGTTAACCTATCTGTTCGAACCCTACTCTCCGGTCAAGGAGAGACGACTCTTTTTTCTGCTTCAAGCAGTTAAAAGGAGGACGAGAGAGAGGAAGATGGCTATGTTGTGAACGATTGCCCCGAAATTCAAGAGAAAGTTAGTTTAGAAAGTCAATGAGAGAAAGAGAGATGGGGGATAGAACAGACATCAATGGTTAGGCAGTAAGCTATACAAAGTACATCTGAATACTTTGAAAATCACTTTATCAATGAATATATGGACCTTGAACTGTGCTTCTTATAGGGACGTATGGGTGGAGGAGGATGTGTACTTCCTAATGGTCAGATTTACCGCATGGCTCTTAGAAAGGAGTACAGGTTAGCTATATGATGGGGAAAGATCCAAACTAGATACGTTTTAGAATGATGACAGACAACGAGCGTAGTCGTTGGAACAGTGCCGTTGTTCAATTAAAGAGAAGTGGAGAATATGATAGAATCAGTGTTATGCATCGTCAAGTCGGTTCTTCTTCTGGAGCTCACTCTGGACCAGGTTTCCTTCCATGGCACAGAGAGTACATGAAGAGGTTTGCACTTCATCATTAAATCCTTCTAACTCGATTAATGATAGAATTGAAATCGCTGTTCGTATGATCGATCCCGGAATCGCTATGCCTTATTGGGATTCTGTTTTGGACAGTTATCTTCCTGATCCACGTGATTCTATCATGTTCACTCCTTCATTCATGGGAGAAATTGACGGTGCTGGTCAAGTCTCTCGCGGAGCTTTTGCTGGATTCCGTACTCTCGAAGGACGTCCAAACATTATCCGTCGTCCAGCCACAGAAGGACGTCTTTTCAGTGAAACCAACATCAACAACCTTTTGAGTCAAACTGAAATTCAAAATGTTCTTGCCTACACTGCTCCCCAAAGTGGTAAGATAGGAAAAGAACGATGCGGTTACTTATTCAATGAATCGTTTCAGGTTGTCCATTCCGTCCAAACTTTGGAGCTCTTGAATACTCTCACTCATCTATCCATTTATGGATCGGAGGAGATATGAAACCACCTAGCACCTCAGCTAATGACCCAATTTTCTTCCTTCACCATTGCTTTGTTGACTTCGTCTGGGAAATGTGGAGACAAGCCCGTCAGAATCGTATTGCTCGTGAAACGGCTTATCCACCTGACATCGGAACTTGTGCCAACTCTCAACACTTCAGTTATTCTCAGATGAGACCTTGGGACAAACAAAACATTGAAGGTTACACCAACTTCTAGACATAAGACAATATCAAAAATTTAGGATTATCTAATGCTTACACCGATAACCTCTATCGTTATTCTCCTCGCCCAACATGCTCTCATCAGAATCCCAACTGTGGATCACCTTATCTGTGGTGTGATACTCGTGGAGCTCCTCATTGCGTCGTCAAGGTTAAGCAAAACGGATTGTGCCGTGGATTCGAAGGATTCGATGCTTGCTGGCAAGGAAGCTGTGTGAATGGATGGTGTCGTCCAGGTCCCGTAACTGCCACAACGAACAACAACTTCATTCAACAAGTAACATTTCATTATGCAATAAAAATTAACGAAGAACTTTTCTCTGAAGGTCACCCAAGCTCCAGCTGTTCAACAACCATCTTCTAGACAGACTGTTGCTCCAACGAGAAATCAACCTCGACCCTCAGCTGCTCCAACAACCCCAAGACCGGTAAACATTATATTTTCTTAGAATGATGGATGAGACAAAAAACGAAAACAATAAATAATTACTATTGCAGACATTCGCCTCTGCTGTCGCCAGCAACAACTGTTATAATGACGATCCATGTTGTGATGCCTGGGCTAGACAAGGTAATTTCTTTGAAGTGAAGAACATGATTGAACTAACAAAACAAATGTTCCAGGAGAATGTCAATCAAATGCAACTTACATGAATCGTTATTGCCGTCGTAGTTGTAGATTCTGTACCAACCCAGCTGATAACCGAACAGGTAATCTAGTTTTCCATTCTGACATAGCAATCATTCCAATTGATAGGATGCCATGATCGTCATGTCTCATGTGCTTTCTGGCGTGCACAGAACTTCTGTAGCAGAAGACGACAATGGATGTCAGAAAACTGTCAAGCTTCATGTGGATGGTGTAACATGAGTCAACAGCAGTTATGTGCTTCTGTTGCACGTATGAGCCGATTGTAAAATATTATTTCCTTTTCTGTATAAGCCTGGTACTTAATAGTCTTTCATTGGAACACGAATAGGACTTCCCTAGGTTTTTCACTTGATATGTACTTTCTTTCTCTCTCTTGCTCTCATCATATCTCTCTCTCTCTCTCTAACTATGTTTTTCCCTCTTTAGTGTTACTATCCTACCCTTACTCGACCCAGTGATCTTTTGTGTGATGCTGCTCATTTGCCAACTTTCAGCTTTGACATGCTCTTATACCTATTCAAAGTTTAATAATCATCATCTTCTTCATCTTCTCTCTCTCTCTCTCTCACTCTCGACACTTCACACAGTTTGAGCTTAGTTCCTTGAATGTACATAACTGTCAATTATATGATGATTGAACAATTCCTTCGTCTAGGATATATCATCTCCAAAAAAAACTTCTCAAAGACGGGCCACCACTTGCCTTCTTCATTAGGATTCTCTCTTCTTAAGACATATAGATCTTTATATTGTGTGTATATTAAGTTTTGTTTAATAAAACATCTTTTCATAGACACATTCTCTCTCTCTTCGATCATCTCTTCAACTCTCCAATCATCAACGAGTACAGTAGTATACAGTGATTGGCAAGACAAGCTTGTTCCACCGAATATGATATGTTCATCGAAAGTTGGCAAAGTGTCTTAGTGACGGCAGATACTTAAGCAACTCATACCAGGAGTGGTTCTTGATTGATTTACATCTTGAGTTCTTCTTGGAAATACATGTACATACACACATGTTGTTGTATGGCAGACGGAGACTGTTGTCCAGTCTCTCTCTTTCTCTCTCTCGTGCATTCTCTCCTTCTATGCTGCTGACCTGTTGTTCGGACTGAAACACTTCTGAAACCCCGTTTGTCAACAAACAAGAACATTTAAATCTTAAAAGTTTTATTAAGTTTGTTCAAAAAATTGACGAGTTTCTTGGAACAATGTAGAGACGGAACGATCACGATTAACAAAAAACAATCATCTATGCAGTAAGCCGAATCCAATCTATCTTTCATCTAAGGTTCTTGGTTTTCAGAAGAGAAGGAGCTTTGAGTGAACTCTGCTGTTGATTTTTAACCAAATAGTTTGGAAGCCCATTCTGCTAAGGTGTGTATGTGTGGGGAAAAGGAACAGCGTCAAGAGAATGTAAAGCAATTACTCAAAACGGGAGAGGGAGAAGGAAGGTGAAGAAAAGACATGAAGGAGACAGTGAGTAAAGAGGGAAACGAGGGACAAAGAGGAAGATAGAGAGAGAGAGAGAGAATGAGTTGAATTGTTGCAAAGGCAGGTACAGGAGCATTTCGTGAAAATAGAAATCACATTACCAATCAGATAAGAGTAGTTATGACTATTGAATAGTTCTTGTTTTTCATTCGTTGCAGATGAAGATGGTTTAAGGATTGAAAGAGAGAGAGAGAGGGAGAGAGAGAGGGATAGAAAGAGAAAGAGAAAGAGAGAGAGAGAGAAGGGGGGGTATTCGATGGACAATTTACTCCTAAGAAGATGAAGCAGAAGATGAAGACAATGAAAAGAGAATTAGTTTGTTGATGACAATTGATAGATGATTGATAAACCCGTAGCTCATAATTGGTTGTACCGCCTTCACACAATAAGCTTTACGTGTAATGACCATGAGCGTTCTTTTTAAGAATAATAAAAAAAAATAATAAAAAAACAAACAAAAATAAAGAGAATTAGGTTATTGACTGAAACATACCTAGACAAGGGTAGGTATGGTATCTAATCAGAACTGAAAATGATAAAGCAGGAGCAGAAGAAATGGAAAATGGAATCACATGTACGAAGAAGACTAATCTGACTAGAATTCAGAACATTTAACAACTTTAACTGAAGTATGATGAGAAAAGAAAAAAAAGGATAACCCGTTTATAAGGGATTTGTCAATATCTGAGAGAGAAACAGACATACGAATAGCAAGGTAAAGGAGGCAAAGTAAGCAAGACAACAAGAGAGAGAGAGAGAGAGGGAGGGAGGGAGATAGAAAGGGAAACATAAAGAGAGATAAAGAGATAGAAGAAAACATAGGAGAGGGAAGGAAAGGGAGAGTACTGTTTATAGAAGAGCAAGAGAGCGAGGTTGAGGGGGGAAGTGGAAGGCTGAGTAGAAGTCTCAGAACCTTTCACGCATCATTGTATTTCCTCAGAAGTCGTTGATGATGTGTCCATTTTTAGGGATAATCCTAAACAGTAACGATTAGCTATGTAATATGTGAGTGCCAAGTGAAATGCAATATGTATATGGAGAGATCTGATTGAAGCCCCCCCTTGAATCCCGAGATATGGATGTATCGTTCACACACGCGCACACACTGTACTGTATAATGAGAAGTCGCAACGTAACGTAAAACGAAAAACAAGTGAGTGCAACGAAATAAGTTTTGGCACAAGGATGTCTGTCTTCTCCGTGTTAAGACCAGCTGATATTGTGTTGTTCATTACCTGTCACCATCACAATCGCATTTAAGTGGAGTCAGCTCACTGGGTGCATTGTTATTCACACTTTCGTCAATCTGAACGAAAAGCAAAAAAATAAAACGAAGTAAACTAAGTGAAGACTGAACAGAAAGCATAAATCATTAGTGAAAATTAGAAAGAAGCAGATCTTTGCACAGAAGCTTCCAGTCCGTCTATTGAGCCTTTTGAAAGGTTTGAAGCTTCAAGCTTGATTCGTAAGCATTGATAACTCAGATACAGAATGAATCATTTCAATGTTAACGGAAAACAAGAATAGCTGAATGAACGAAAAAAAGTGAAAAAGTGTACGAATGGCACGTCAAACACGTATCTCAACAGACTTCATGCAAAAATAAATAAAATGAAAAGTAAATCTGATTGGATGTGTACATCTCAGAGGATGAACACATGCACACACACACGTGTAAACACACACACACACACATAGATGGAAAGTACAGAAAGCAGCTTCTTCTCCGCTTCATATTTTTCACCTTCTCGATGCTTCTTCTCCAAAGTGAAAATGAAATGAACAAACCGTTACAGAAGACATGAGCTTAGTTGTTGAATCATCTGATCCTTTCTTGACGTGGTTCACATATGAAGGACTTAGCGTATTTCCATTCTTGTTATCAAGAGCTAGCGTAACCTGGACACAAAGACAAACAGCAGTTAGAAAATTATAACATCTGTTCTATTTTATATTTCTATCTAAGGACATCATCATGATCATTTCCATCTTCGTCTTCATCATCATGATGATCATGAGCTTCTCTAAGTAATAGCTCTCAAATGCGATTCGCCGAATCATTCACAATAAAGTTATGAGACGAACATGCTTTCAACTTCTTAAGCACACAAGCCTAAGCTTTTCAAAAAAAAATCAGAAAAATCTATTAAATAGACACACAACATCATGTTTAAAGCTTCTCAACCATAGTGTTGTCACAAAGCTTCATCTATGTTAAACTGTTCTCACAGAATCAGAACTAAACAAGGTAATCAAGCAATCTACTACGTTTCAAATGCGGTTGTAACTTGATGATCAACTTCAATCTCATATTCACAAATGGATTCTTCTCTTCTTCACAACTATACTCTCTTCACACCCCAAGATGTCAGCTGACATTGCAGATGAAGCATCTCAGCTTCTTCTCTCAATAAGATATAAATGTTGTTTATAACTTATCGGAAGTTCTTTTCTCTCTTTGTCAATTTGGATTTTTCCAAAAATGCCCATTGAATCCTTCATTTTTCTTTCATTGTGTGTCTATTCAAAGAGAAAAGAGAATAGATATAGAAAGAGAGAGGAAAGATAGAGAAAGAGAGAAAGACGAAACATTGCAAGAGACTTATGCAGATATAGAGAGTAGATGGATAGTTAAAGACAGAAAGCTTTCTAACCTGTCCATTTCTGGCTTGGTAATGGCTTGCAATACTGCGTGAACCACGACGTAAGTCTGTTTGACTTGTATGTTGGAGGCGATATCGATGCCATACACTCTTTATCACATTAATTACCTTAAATGGGAATATGAGAATGATGAGGGAGAGAGGAGAGATGAGAGAGTGAGAGAAAGAGTAGGTAAAGGGTATGAACCTCTTTGTTGGTGAAACAATAAATAATTGTAATCATAAGTCCTTGATACATGTATGTGAACGATGCACAGTATGTCCAAACGGCGAAAACCTGAATGAGCATTCATCATGACAGTATCCTGAGGCTAGTTCATTACCATAATATTATATCGTGTTGGAGCAAATGGTATAGTTTGCATAATATTAGGAATTCCTAGTAAGGGAATTAACATTAGAGCAGCCTTTGTTGCTTTCCTGAAACAAGTGACGTCATGAATGATCGGATGAAAGGGAAAGAGGAAGAGGATGAACTCACTTCATTCGATCCATTTCACTTGTGTTGTGCGATTCTCGTACTTTCGACCATAAAACTCTGATTACATTACAAATAAAGAAGAAATTAACCTTTAAAAGAGAAAAATGAGATTTGGGCAAGAGGAGAGAGAGGGACTTACAACAAGCTCAGCCATACGTGGCCCATCTAATATCCAGAATTCTGGTTCGAGATAGTACGATCCTAGACATCTTTCAACTTTGAAACCTTTCTTGAATAAGACAACAAATAGCCAGAATAAGGCATGGATGAGTGGTATTCCTTAAATGGATTCAAATTGTAAGATGATGATTGATGACAAAGATCATACCGTAACCAGCCATAGCATAAGGTTTAATGCTTGGCTCAGCTTTGAAGACAGTTAAGACTAATTGATTGTGAAGTACGAAGCCTTCCAAAAACATCCAAGCAAAAGCAACTGTTTTGAAATATTCCAGCAAAAAGTACATAAATTCGCATACAAATGGCTGAAATAATGAAAAATACATTATGATGTTCAAGATCAAACAGAGAGAGAGAGAGAGAGAGAGAAGGGAAGGAAGAGAGTAACTTAACGTTAAGGATAGAATAGGGTGATTAGAGAGGGAGTAGAGAGAAGCTAAAAGGACTTACCATAGTATTAATTGTATTTCCATCTGAAGGACTTTGATGAGGACCGTAATTTCCAGTGAATATAAGATCAATATACAATACAAGACGAATTATAACAACCATTAGTATTGCTATCATTAAATGTAAATGAAGAAGATTTCGAAAAACTCGTAATCGCCTGTAAAGAGAAGAATCAGCATCATCTGAATGATACACTCAGACACTCTTCACACACGTCTTCTATTCATTACTCATCCTCACTCATTACATCTGAATCCAACCACTTTCTCTCTTCCTCTCACGTCTTCTATACACTACTCTTCCTCACTCATCACATCTGAATCCAACCACATTCTCTCCCCCTTTCACGTCTTCTATACACTACTCTTCCTCACTCTTCACATCATCTTAATACCTTACCTGAAATAGGTGAAGATAAATATTGATACAATCAGACAGACTAAGGATAAGCCTAAACCGACGAACTCAAGCTTTCGAGCATTTCGAGCAACTTCTTGGGCTATCTGAAATCAGAAAGTTACTTCATACTTCCTAATTATATGATATAATTGAATATCTAAACATGAATAGTTGAACACACACGGACAACATACAACAACTGAAGAGACAGATAACATCACAGATTATGATATCATAATTTGTGATTTCTAAATGAAGCATGCAAGCATTTGAAAGCTTCGAGCACAAGCTGGAAAAGAAAAGCTTCGAAGAGAAAAATTTGCGTGTGAAAGAGCTTTTTGATGCCTACTACTACTAACTACCAGTGAATACAGATACAGAACGTATAGACAACTAGGAAAGACTGAGATACAAAGAGTGTAAGATAGATAGAGAGAGAGAGAGTGAGAGTGAGATAGAGAGAGATTAGGTGGTGGGTGATTAAGAGAGAAAAGTGAAAAAGAGTGAGAGAGAGAGAGAGATAACCAAAAAAGGAAATATGTCTGATAGAGGTGAAAGCTTGAAAAATATGAAAATGTGTTGAAAGCCGACATTCATGTGAGTTTGCATGAGAAAGTATGAACTACGTGTGGTGGACGTACAAACTACAGAAATGTATGAAATAAAATAAAAAAAAATAAAAATAGTGACCGCTAATGATTTGTTGTTGAGCTTGTTCATGATGTAGATGACTTCTTCTGTATAACACATGGTATAGTTAGTCCATCCATTATCTGGACCGATGTCTGTTTCATTGCGTCCCATCCAATACCCACTTGAATGGCAGTGCTTGGTGATATTCTCTGAACACAACAACAACAAGCTTCTTAAATGTTATAATTCTGTTGTCAGGGATAGGGGTGGGAGGAGGTGTTTAATGGCTTCATTTGCATAGTAAGTAAGTATGGTGATTCATCTATGGTGAGAATGTATTATAAGAGGAGGGTTTGTGATTTGATAGAGAACACAGAGAGAGAGAGAGAGAGAGAGGCAGAGAGAGAGAGAGAGAGAGATTGAAAGAGCAAATGGGAAGTGGAATTGGAATGATGTTGATGAGTGGTTAATTATAATTTTTTTCATTTTCTTCAAATAATTGACTAACTATATGATAATTAGAAGAACCGATTTGTTATTATGATTAAGCTGCTGTTTCACATTGTTTGCCATGCCAAGCAAGTCGTAATCGTTCTGATACTCATTACGGTAGATGTGATGAGATGGTCAAAACGATTGTCGAGCCATTGAAATGATAATAGATGAAGGAGAAGCATTGAATTCATATGATGCTCATGCTTCATGTGAATCAAGTGGTATGGTGAGAGATCTGCTCGTGAACTTACGTAAGTGAACAAGGTGTTTGTGTGTGTGTGTGTGTTTATGTGTATATGTAAAGTGTATATGTGTAACACAGTGAATTAGATGTGATGGTGTTCAAAAACAAAACTGAGTGATAAGTGACGTCGGCTTTGTTCTAAGCACACGGCTTAGGTGGATTGCAGAAGTTTCGAAGGTTAACAAGTGCACAAGGAAATCCTCATGGGCTTTGAGTATTAGTCAAACAAACAAGAAAGCGTAGAAGAACTTAGAAGTCAGAAGCATCAAACACAGTACGTCACAAGAATCAAAATTTAAAAAAAAAAAACAAAAACACGTCAACATTCACGTGAAAAGGTCACGTGCTCATATTGCGTACTTTCACATCCTCGTAGTCGATGCGGAAACAAGGCGTGAAGTTGGTCCATCCCCATGCATTTTCGTATTTTCCCGGTTCTCGTCCGGCCCATCTTCCGCTATCATCACAGTGTTTCTCGATGTATTCTGAAGCACAGGTGACGTCCACACACGAGGAAGGTAGATGTAAGCTTGTTCATTTAAGGTAAGAGAATAGGGACAACAAAATAAATAAATAAAACTTTGAAACAATATAATCGTTGAGTAAGTCAATGAGAGATCTTTCAAAGTGACATTCTCATCCCAAAAATGGCAAAAACAATTTTTTTTGTTAATCAAATTAATCATCTGAATCATATACAACTGCAACCGTTCCACATGCCTGCAGTACATGGTAAGTGATAAGCTGGGGGTGAGAGTTACGCGTTCACGTGAATCTTCCACGTAAGACATATATAATAGCGGGAAATTTGAATTTCTTTTTTATAAAGCAGTTCCTCCTCATTGTTTTACAGAAGTTGAATGGAAATAAGCTGACTGATAAACACATCCAAATATTCTTTCCTCTCTTCCTATATACCATGAAGCGGAACAAAAAAAAAACTTCAAAACATCCCGAAAAACACGAACAAACGATTGTTGCTTAAAGATCTCGCAGGTTAACATTGTTCAAAAGAAGTTCCTTTCTCTCTCTCAATCTCTCTTGCTCTCTCTCTCTTGACTGACTAGGGAATAGTCTGAGAGAGCATACGTTGCAAAGAGATAGAGAGTGAGATGATCTCGAAATAGAACTGTCAGGGAGGAATTCTTAGAAAATGGCTTAATTTTAATTTTTTTCGAATTAAAAATCACATAAGCAGCATAGGGAGGAGCCTATCTATATGTATAGCCAAGAGATACTCAGTAGTCAATTATATTTTGAAGAAGAAGGAAGTCATGAACAAGGAAGTAATGAACGCAAGGTTCAAAATACCTGCATGATTTTGGCGGGGGGAGAAGAGACAGGTATGGAAGTGGGGAGAAACAAAAGACGCGAGGGTTGAATGTAGTAGAAGGTGGGTTGGTTGGGGAGGGGGGGGGGGAGAGGCTAGGATAGGAGAAGCTAAGTTGAAGCTTCCTCTGTCCATTAGAAAGGTTTGTGGTTTAATTTGATCCAAAAGTTTGTTTTATGAAAAAAAAAGAGAATAATTGAGTTGTTTCGTTAATTTAGAATTGGGGGGAGAGGAAGGAAAAGCTTTGAAACTTACTGGTCGGATCCAAACCCTTTAATGGAGGACAAGGTAACGTTACACTGGTACCAGCTGGAGCTGGTGGCCAACAGAGTACCGTATCATATGTAGCATTACAGTATAATGTGCTATCATCTAAACAATATGATTCCTACCACGAATGTCATGTCATGTAATCTTACTTAATTGTGGAAAATATGGAATGTTGGCTTTATTAAGCATTTCTTCGCACACCTGAAAAAGAAAAATATGAAATTGATGAAGAAATTCAAATGAAGTTCGGTTTGAATGTGTATGTGATGGATGCATGTTGATGCTTCATCTTGTGTCTGATCAAACCTCAAACGTTTTGGCCACATTATAATGCGGTAATGAGTAATTCCAAGGAGCCTCCAATGAGTTATCAGGCATTTTAGAGGATGAAGCTGAGATATAAACGATTAAAGCTATCTCATCAGACAGATATCGAGAGAGAGAGAGAGAGTGAGTGAGAGATAGAGAGAGATTAAGAAGAGAGAGAGAGAGAAAGAGTGACTGGGAGATGTTTTTTCATCCAAAAAAGGAATTTCCACCAATAAAAAAAAGGAAAAAATGGAAAATTTAAGATAAAACTTGAAAACAACTTGTTGGAGCAACTAAAGTGATTTCCAAAGCTTATTGACGATAATATAAACAGAACAAAACGATATAATTTATATTCTGTGAAGTTAGAAATACGATCTTCAGATGAGAGAGAGGAAGCGAGTAAGCTTATGCTACTTGTATGTGTATGTGCATGTGTGAAGACGATGCATGAAGTAGTTGAAGACGATGAACAAGTAGATGAAGAAGAAGTAGAAGGTGCAAATGGGATAGGACGAATAAGAGAATCCAACACACGAATGATAAGGAAGCCAAATAGATGGAGGGAGGGTGAAGGAATGGAGGTTAAATTAAATTTTCGAACAAGTGTCTTGTGTGCTAAGGAAGAGGAGAGAGAGAGACAAGCTTGTTCGTTGTCCTTTTAGCTTGTCCTCCTACCCCCCATTCCCCCTTAAATCAACTTTCAGTCGAAAAATTATTAGAAAACATGTCAAAAAGTTCTCAATTTCGTCAGTAAATAGCCTGAGGGCATTTTGAAATAAGAAAATCGTACACGAATACTCAGAGAGAGAGAGAGGGAGAGAGAGGGAGATGGAGGGAGAGAGAGAGAGAGAGAGATGTACATGTATTAGAATTCTTGTGTTTTATAAAAACGAATTATGATGAATAACAATAACATTTGAAAAGTTAATCTGAGGATCATACAGCATACAAGATCTCTTCTTCTCTCTATGTTCACAGAGAGAGAGAGAGAGGGAGGGAGAGAGAGAGAGGACAAAAAAAACAAAAAAAGGCGCCGGAGGGCGTAATTTCGTTAAATTACATATTATCATTTGGAATGGCCCACCAAAAACAGTAAATAGATTGAAGCCTAATTCGTTATACAAATGATAGCGCAGTTGTTGGAATATGCAAATTAGAGATCTGACTGAATTTGTCAAAATCAATTTGTATCTATAGTGTATGAGGATGATGATGATGATGATGAGGGTGATGATAGAATGGCTATTTATAGGATTGTAAGTAAATGGAAATAGATTGAAATGCAACCGATCGTCTAACATCTAGATGTATGAAAATGGAGTTGACGTGAAAATTACGTCAAAAAGCTTCATATGCAAATGAATCTCTCAGATAGCTGAACGTGAAAATTCTGAGAAAACTCTTTTTGAATATCAAATATCAGAATTTTAAATTATCATTTAAAAGATTAAAGATATTCACCAGAAGAGAGTGTCAATGAACAGAAGTGTACACATACAACATACATACACATAGAGAAGGAGAGAGAGAGGGAGAGTAACATACAGAGGGAGAGAGAAAAAGAGAAAATGAAAATATATTGCCTGAGGCATAAGAGCTGTTGGTAGTCGCGATGAAGAGAAATGATGATGAGTTTGTGGTCTGCAGGGAATTTTGATGTAAAAGGGTAAAAAGCTTGAAATTTATAAATGAGTAAGTGCATTTACTATAGCCTTATACGTATAGTTAGTCATTTCATTATTACAAGAGTTGACATTCACAAGACGTTTCAAGCATTGAGAGAGAAAGAGAAAGAGAGAGAGAGAGAGATGTGGAGAAGGATAGAGAGAGAGGGAGTGGTCGGGATGATTGAGGGAACGGAAAAAATTGACGAATTAATTGGAAAAGCAGGTCTCAACACGACAATTCATTTTAATTTTTGAGATTTTGATTGTGAGTCCAAAAAAGGTATTCGATTGAAGGAGTGTTTTATAGACTCCAAATGGGACTATGAAACAATGTATTTAATTTGCATATAAATTATAATGAGTGGGGAAATAAGAAAAAAAGAGTTCAATTCTAGGAATAGAGAGAATGAGAGAGAGAGATACAAGAAGAGAGGGTGTATAGAGAGAGAGAGAACGATAGTGTTAAGATAGAAGCTTATGAAGTGATGTTTCAGCTGAGCTTATAAACAAGAATTGAAGAAAATGAAGCTGAGTTTTCATGGATAGAGAAAGCAACAACGATGGTCTTTTTGGAATAAAAAAAAGTTTTCCCTCTCTTTCCGTTACTTCCGCCACTACACGGAGAACAGAAATAGATGTAAGAAAGGAAAAACGAGAGAGAAAGATAGAGGGAGGATATAAAGAAGTGTTGAAGGAAAATTTCTTTTTGAAAAGAAAAACGATGATTAGATGATGATGATCATGATGATGATGAGGGAGAGAGAACGATGACACATAGAGTTAACTATGTGAAAATGCTATATATGGATGTCCTTTGATTAAATATATTCATGATATGTTCATAAGCTTAACGTCTTCTGAATGAATGTTGGAAGTCTGAAGATGGTCGGAGAATTAAATGATGCGTTGCTGGTGCTATATGGATGAGAGGAGAGTTCGTGACTATATATGGAGAAGATATGTAAAAGATATGCGTGATGACTTTTTAAAGATATAAAGAGAGAGAGAGGGTGGGATGAAGGAGAGAGAGAGAGATAGAGAGAGGGAAATGGAAAGAATCAAAGAGAGCGAGATGAAGATTGTTTGGTATTGAAGCTCGACAACCGAGAGGGAAGAAGATGGAAGGGAACTAAGAAGGGAAGAAGGAAAAAAGACAAAAACTTAAAATACTTAATGAGCATGTCATGAGTACAATAGAACACTCTTGTAAGCATTTTTAATAGATTTTCATTGGCAATAACACAAGATTTCTCTCTTTCCCTCCCTCTCTGTCCCTCTCTGTCCCTCCCTCACTCCCTCACTCCCTCCTTCTCTCTTATTTCATTTGAGAAAGACATTTGTTTGACCAAAAATAGAAAAAAAGCTTTGGCAATCATGAGCATCACGTGGAGATGAAACCTTTTTTTAGATTGAGAATCACTTAAGTACCGTAATTCAGATGATAAAGAGAAAATTTATCTTTCAAGAATAAGATGTAGACACATATGGAGAAAACAGAGAGTAGAGCCATCTAGAACGATTGAATGTGATGACACAGGAGCTGATATGTAACGGTGAATAGAGATGGAGAGCTAGAGAGGGAGGATGTGTGTTCAAAGAGAGAGAGAGAGAGAGAGATGTTGTCACTGTTAACCAGAAGGAAGGCCAATAGCCTTTAAAGAGTTTTCATCCACTTTTGTCAACTGTGAGCTTCAAAAGTTCATCAAATATTTTATCATTAGTGAATAATTTTGTTAAAAGAGCTTTGTCCTCTGGTTCTACTCCTCCCTCCCTCTCTCTCTGTATGTCCCCTCCTCTCTCTCTCTCTATTCCTATGTCTGGATCGCATCGAATCTTTTCAGTTATTGCCTTTGTGTGATATGGATTGGAAATCGTTTCGAAATTATTTTCTTCTCGGCATCCAAACTCTTGACTTTTCACCCTCTCTTCTTTCTCTTTCTCTCTCTATCTTGCTACATCTATCTATCTGGTGGCGTCTTTCTCTCTTTTGCCTTTCTCTGCTTTTTTTTGTATTTTACTCTCTTTTTACTTCATTAGCAGTCAGTTGTTGAGAGAGGGAGATAGAGAGAGAGAGAGAGAGAGGGAGGGAGATGTCGTCGACAAAAAGAATATCAGAAAGAAGAAGATGAAGAAGAAGGAGGAGAGAAGGAGAAGCACAAAAAGCATCAGCCGAAGGCCAACGGACTTCAATGGAGAGAAAGAGAATTCATTTTTTTGTTAAATAAAATGTCAATTTATTGAAGATTCAACGGAATTTTGTTGGAAAGTTTGAAAAGAAGATGTGCGAGAACACGTGATTGTTGAAGACATAAGATATAGAGAGATTGAGACTTAGAGAGAGAGAGAGAAGAGGGGATAAAGCTGGAAGGGAAAGAGGGAATATATGAAGCTCGCAGCCTAAACAAGGGAAAAGAGAGGATAACTTGAAGAGAGCTTGGAAATCAAGAGAAAAAGAGTAGAATGGGGATTATGAATGTCTGAGAGAGAGAGGAAGATAGAGAGAAAAAAATTCAGAGAGAGAGAGAGAGAGATCATCATATCTTCCAAATTGAAATATTCAAAGAGCAATATCCGTTTGAACAGATTACTTTCGGATTTTCAATTATCATAATAACTCTTCCATATTTACAGAAAGTGAAAAAATAGGTTTGTGTGTTGAAACTCTCTAGTAAAAAATCTGACGAAAAGAGATAATTGATCTCAAATTACGGGTTCATTTGATCTCATAATTCATCTCAAACTTGATCCTTATTAGTATTATGAGAGATGATGGATTAGAGAGAGTGTAGTAGAGATATACAAACTAATAATTATGATTCTTGGAATAGAGCATAAATAAGAGATAAACAGAGATGAAGAGAGGTAAAGAGAATAGGAGAGAGAGCTTATGAGGGAGAGAAAAAGAGGTAAAAGAATGTTCAAATGTCTCTTTGGCTCAGCTGGCCTAAGTAATTGCCCCTAGGCCATAACGGTTAGTGCATTTTGAGCCAAGTGAAATGCCAGTTTTGGGATGTGTTAGGTCGTCGTGCAGAAGCCAAAAATGGAAATGAATGAGGCATTTCGACCGTTCGAGGTTTATGTCTGCAAACTCGGTTGGAAAATTGAACAATTAACACGCACATACACACACACACACGCAGACAAATATTAATTTTTTAATATCGAAAGTATCGTTTCGAAGACGAATTTGAGATTCAGAGAGAGAGTGGGGAGAGAGGAGTGTGAAACGTAAAGAAACTGCATGCGAGGTCCTGAGAGGAAAAAAAGCTGAAATGAGAGGATAGCCAATTTTCCAAATATGTGTACAAAAAGCGAATTATGAAAATGAGTGATATGGAAAAATTGAAGAAGCCCTGTTTGAAAGAAAAAAAAAGTGACGCAGACAGGCAAATCAGAGGA